TTTCATATTCCCCAACAACCCACCTTCTCCCTAAATCCCATCAGGTGCAGCTCTCTTGTTTTCCCTTCTGCAGCTGAGGTGATCGAGGGCTCTTTTTCCTGAGTTCCTCCAGACATCTCCAGTGCCTCTGCCATGCCCTTTGCCCACAGCCCCGTGCTGGTGGCTCCTTGAGCTCCTTGGGACATCACTGGGGCGTTGAGGAAGGAAGGATGTGCCAGGTGGGATTTTTTGATCCTCCCTCAGTCCTGCAGGTTGGGATGAGTTTGCTGCAGGTGAGGCTCTGTGAGCACAGAGAGAGAGAGAATAATTTGCTTTTTCAATGGATCACAGCAAGGAAAAGTTTGTTTTTCTAAGTGGGAAGTGTCTCATGTTACATTTCCATTTCCAGAGAGTCTGTGTGGAACCAGAAATGGTTTAATGAAAGTTTTATGATTAAAGTAACAACAGGATTTGGCCCATTTTCCAGGAAATTACACCATGCCTGGGCTCACTGTTATCCACTTAATTGATAAATTGAGGCATCTGTTGAGGCAATAAAAAAGAAGGAAAAGAAAAAAAACTCCAAGAAAAACTGCAGAGGAGCCTGAAAAGAAAAGCAGGAGCTGCCTGGAGGATGCTGCCCTTCCCTGGCCCTCAGGTGCCAGGCAGGAGATGATTCCTGGCTCCAGGCACTGCCTCATCCAGATTACACAGCCTGAGGAGAGAGAAGAGCCTGGAGTTTGGGAGAAATTTGGGAATCCCTGCAGAGAGGGCTGAGGGACCTTTTTGGGGGCAGAAACACCCAAGTCTGCCAGACTGTGTCTGCTTGGGAATGGATCAGGCCAGGCTGATCTGATAAAAAGAAATTCATTCCATTTCCAGGGGTTGCCTGTGTTACATGAGCCACTTCCAGAGGGTGTGGGAGGCAGTTTTACTTCTGGGACACTTATTCCCTGATAGGAGGCTTGGAAGTGTTTCCAGACTGTTGGAATTCCTTCCCCAAATCCCTCAAAACTTTACCCCCTGGCCGTGGGAGCCATTCCCTGTGTCCTGTCCCTCCATCCCTGTCCTTCTCCAGCTCTCCTGGAGCCTCCTGCAAACACCTGGATTAATTTCCTAAATCTCCTGCAGTCCTTTCAGTGGGTTTATAAACCATTCCCGTGCACATTCCTACCTGGAGGAGCAAACAGAGCTCTGCAGTGAGTGACTCTCCTGTCCCCAGGTGATGTGCAAGAGCCAAACACATTTTCTCCTTGCTTTGCTTGCCCTCCTTCCCTATGCAAAGGCAGCTGATTTATGGCTGCTCTGGGGCTGTTTTGCAGGAATAACAACAATAAACTCAGCAAAAGCTGAAATCATGAAGTGGAAAAATGAAAGTAAAAGAGGAATAAATAATTCCAGGCCAGTGTTGTGTCTCAGGGATGGGATGCAGAGCTCTGCTGAGAGGCCTGGGTTGGGCTCTGCCCTGGCTTGGCTGGGCTCTGGGCTGGGCTTAGGGGCTGTTTTATCAGCAGAGCTCATGAATGGGGCTGGGTGTGCTGCTCTGGGGCAGGTCTGGGGTGCCCCATTGCCACCCTGACCCCAGTGAGATAAGCCAGGATGGTTTCCTCCCAGCAGCAACGACCTGAGATTCACTTCTCCATGTTTTCCATGACTTTATACAGCTGTGTGTGTATAAAAATGTAAATGTTGGCTTAAAATGACCCATTTCCTGCAGCTCCAGTGGTTGTGCTTTTAAACAAGAGGGGGAAATGAGGCTGAAATCTGCATGAGGGGAAAATGAGGCTGAAATCTGCGTGAGGGGAAAATGAGGCCGAAACCTGCATTTGTGGGCTGGAGGGGTGGAGAACCAGGGGCTGTGGTGCCTCTGGGGGCAGCAGGAGGTCCCACCCTGCCCCTCTGATGGGGTGGCACCCCTCAGGTCCTGTCCCCTCTGCAGACAGGTGCTGGGGACACAAATGTGTGTCCAGCCCTGCAGGGCCAGCTCTGGGCAGGGTGGGTGAGCTGGGAATGGTGGCAAAGCTTCCAGAGATCAATCCATAAAAAACTGAGGAGGGAAAAAGGGGCAGCAGGGAGGGAACGATTGCTCCTGTGCTGTGTGAAGAGCTTTTCCTTAGCTGCTCCCACAGATACTCTCCTGAACGTGTTCTTGGCCATCGCTGTGGACAACCTGGCCAACGCCCAGGAGCTGACCAAGGTAGGTGGGACATTGCATTTTATTGTAAATTCCAAAGCAAGGGGGACACCCTGAGCTGTCCCCTGGGGTGCCTGAAGGAGCTGGAACAGAGGCCAGATGGAGTTAAGGGGAATAAAATGGAGATTTATTGAAGGGCACCCAGGTGGCTCCAAGATGGGAGCAAAGGAGAGCTTGGTCATGAGATCTCACATTTTTATAAGTTCTGCTCCATTTGCATCTTGCAGTTCATTGTCCAATTACATCTTTATGTTATGAAGTCCCATCCTTGTTTTTCTCTCTCCAGCCCACGGTGTTTGTGCTCTTGGGCTGAGATTTGGATCATTTGTCCTTGGTGCCCAGCTGGAGCAGGAATTGTTTTAGACAATTGTGCTCTGTGCACAGAGCTCACCATGCCCTCATGTGAAGCTCAGACCCACCTACTAAAGCAGCACAGAATGTGAAAAATAGAAAATCGAAGCCTGAGGCATCACCTGCTGCACCTCTGATGACCACTTTGCATTGCAGAGAGGCACCTGGATGTTTATTCCCTTTCAGCTTTATTTTTGGTTGCAGTGAATATTTTGTATTTGCTTTATCCCAGAATGGGCATTGCTCATCTCATCTCATATTTTCTGTTTCCAAGAGCAGAGGAGAACCAATTAAGTTTTTTTGGCTGATTGGAAGCTCAGGAGCAAATTCAGGCATTGTGATGCTGCTTTTGCCCCTCTGGTGAGCAGCTTGCACTGCAGAGAGGTTCATTCCCCTGCAGCTTTCTTTATTTCAGCTTGCAGGGAATATTTTGTGTTTAGTTTGGTCTCAACTTTGTGTCCCTTACCTTGCTGAGGCTGGTGATGGATTAAAGAATTAAAATTTTCCAATTAGCTCCAGGCAAAAGAATTTGCAGAGGCTGTTGTGAGCACTCAGGGGAGATGTTGGGATATTCCTGCCTCTCCCCGGGTGTAAGAGAAATCGGAGGCACAAAGCCAGGTCCTGGCAGGGGATGGCAGTGACAGGATGGCAGTGACACTGGTGTGAATTTTCTGGATGTGGACACAGATTTCTGTTGGAGAATGTTTACACTGAGAACAGCTCAGCCCAGGGTTGTGACTGTTGCCCTTGGTGCTTGAGCTATTGCAGAGTTTTGATTTCTTGGCATACTCAGGTGAATTTGTGAGGAGAATTAAAGGGATTTTTGCACATTTTTAGCTTTTCTCACCCATTCCTGTGCTGCTGCCATCAGTCACAATGACCCCATTGGGCTGGTTGTGTTTTAAAACTTTAATTTCTCTCCTCCTGCCAGTGGCAGAGCTCTCTGCCCACGAGCTGAGGCAGCAGCAGGCACAGGTGGTTTTTATTTTTAGGGAAAGGTGCAACAGTCCATGCCCCTGGATCCCAAGGCCAGGCTGGATGGAGCTGGAGCAGCCTGGGCTGGTGGGAGGTGTCCTGGATGGGCTTTGAGGTCTTTGCACCCCAAACCACCCCATGGAATTGCTCAAAAGCCACAGAGATGTGGTGCTCAGGGTTGGTGCTGAGCTCTGGGGTGGATCTGGCACTGCTGCACTCAAGATTTCCCAACATTTTTGGCTCTTTGGGTCCCCAGTGCAGCTCCACACTTGAGGGACACCGAGACTTCCTCACATTTCCCACCCTCCTCCAGCTGCTGCAGAGCAAACCAGCCAAAGGTTCCCATCAAAAACCACGTCCTTTCTGTGGCTGAGCTGCTCTCTCATCTCCCCTTTTCCTGCAGGACTGGCTCCAGCTCCCAGCTTTTCTGGAGCTTTCTCCCAACAAACCCTCCAAACAGCCTGGTGGCCCCCAGGTGAAAAATATTTTTGTTATTATAAATATTTTATTACAAACATTTTCTCATATTTGTAATAAAGATATTTATAATAATAAAATATTTTTATTAAATCATATTATACAGTATTATTTAATATATATTTTATATAATATAAATTATTAAATACTTTCTATTATTATATATAATTTTATTTTAAATACTGTTGCTCTAAATAATTTTATTACAGAATTTTTATAAATAGCATTCTTATAAATAATTTTATTATAAATACTTTTGTTATTATAAATAATTTTATTATAAGTAATTTTTTATTATAAATAAATGTTTATAATTTTATTTTCTGTTCCAACTCTGTGTTCTGCATCCCTCCTCTCTTAAAATGGTGCTCATGGCTGTCTTTAATGTGTCTCTGTTACTCTGTTGTTTAGAAGTTTTTCCTTTTTTTTTTTTTTTTAAATGGGAATTTTTTTCCCCCTTTCTGTGCTCACAGAAATCTCCAGCCTGGAGGCAAAGATCCTCCCAGAGTTATGGGCATCCCATGCATGTGCAAAGAGGGGAGATGAGGCCCAGCACAATTCTTGGATAATGAAGCTCATTCTCCTTCTTTCTTAATCCTTTAAGTGCTTTCTTGTGAATATTTCAGCAGCTGACAGGGAGGGTTAGAAACCTGACTTTGGGGATGTTTATAAAGTCTAATTAAATATTGATGGATTCAACAGCATTGCCAAATCATAAAGCTTCTCCAAAAACTCTCTTGGGGATTTTTTTAAGTTTAATTTTATTTAATATACCCCCCCCCCCCAAATCACTAAGGCTTTCAAAAGAAAAGGAAAAAGCTAAAATTCAATTAGACACATACCTGGAGAATGAGGGATTTCCTGCTGAGTAAATATGATCATGCAAGCCCCAAAAATGGCCCAGAGATACAAGGAAGTTACTCAGGAGTCAGTTGGTCCCAGGAGACTCTCCTGACATTTATTCTGTGAAATTAATTGAGATCAGCGCTGAATTTAATGTGGGAGAACCAGGAGCAATTGAAATTGCCTCTGTTTAGGGAAGGCAGAAAACTTTCCTGCCTCAGGACTGGAACATCTCAACTTTCCCCACTTCTGGATGCTCATTTGGATTTTTTATGTGGCATTTGGGCCATTTCTGGGCTCTGTGACCTGTAAGAGCAGCTCTCAGAGCTGGGGCTATATTTAACTGCAGCTTGATCACCCTGTGGCTGTTACAGAACTCACCAGCTTAGGAATGACTCATTTTTGGGGGGGAAAAAAAAAAAATCACCACCTTTGCTTTCAATCTATGAAAAATCTGCTCCCAGCTCCCTCTCCTGCTCTTCCTGTTCTGGCCTTGCACTGACTCAAGCTCTGCCACCCAATTTTCAGTGATTCCTGAGACTGCTCCTCAATCACTTTAGGTTCCCTCACCTTTAAGTTTTTTTCAACATATTGACAGGATTTTCTTCCTGTTCATTTATTCAGAGCAGAATTTACAATTGCCCCCAAAATTTGCTTTTCAAATCTCACTGCTGGTCATGCAGAATGTCTCTGGTGACATCCAGCAGCTCCTGCTTTATCGTCACTAAACTGGAGTGTAAACCCACTACAAGTGAGGCTTTATTTTCCTAAATATCCAAGCAGGAAGTGTTTTCTCCTCTCTGTACACTGCTAGTGATCCCTGAAAAAGCATATAAACATATATGAGGGATGTGGGAATTTGATGTAAATTTGTATAAAATTCTTGAGGAATGCCCAGAAATTCTGGATTGAAAGGAGTGGCCAAACCCAGAGCTCAGCATCCATAAATCCCCCTCCTTCCTATGGAAAAGGCTTTAACTGGCTGAATATATTCAAGAAAATTCAGTTTTAATGATGCACACCATGATGGGTAGCACCAAAAATGGGTTTTACCCTGTGAGAAATTGATTTAAATTAAAATTTAGAGCTCTAGAAAACAGAAAGGGACATGAACCAGGGATGTCCTTATAGACAAGAGCTTTATCTGTGAAATGGGAGTAACAGTTTGAGCTGGAATTTGAAATACCAGGTAAAAAAATTAATGAATTTTTGGAGTCATCTGCAATGTCTGCATGGAAGGAGCCACAGATCTATCACAAAGCAAACATCTGCTGAGGGCTGAGCTGGTTGTGAGGGAGGAACAGCTGCGTTTGCTGCTCCTTCAGGATGGAAATCCAGCAGAATTACACCCAGGAGAATGGAGCAGAAACCACAAATTTAAAAGAGGTTTTAAAACCTGCACCTGGTGCTTCAGGGGCAGAGAAAGAAAAATCAGCAGCCTTTGGTTTTTAAGGCTGCTGGAGATCCCTCAAAGGAAGAAATAATTTGAATTTACCTGGAGGATGAAAGAAAAACCTGAAAGATTTTTTAATTAGGGTGTTATTCCTTGTAAAACTTGTGTCCTGAGGATAACATTTCTGCTGCATTGGGATGGGCACAGTTAATTTTTTTTTTAAATTAAAAAAATAAACCAGGAGCTGCTGTGGGATTTGTGTGGGAAAGAGAATTTGTGTTGGAACCACTCTGGGATGTTTTGTTCTCTCTGAGCAGTGACCCCACAGTGTTGTCTCCTCAAGGTTTCTTGCAGGCATCTCCTCTAAGCATTGACTGTTCCTGATCCTTGCAGCAGCCATCTGACTCCAGTTCCCACCAATCCACTCTTTTATACCACTTGTTCATATTGGCTACAGGTGTTGCCTGTTATCATCCAGCCTGCTCCTGATCTTTAGTAATAGAGTCCAGCTGCAGCCCATTGGAGGATATGATTCCATTCTATATCACCTTCATTTACCCATTCTGTGACCCCCTAAAATTCCCCCTTTTTCTTTTAACCACAGAGTTGCAGCTTTTCCAGAAGCACATATTCAAATAAATTACATTATGACATATTTGTACATTTTATTTAGAACTAAGAGTTATGCAAGTGTTCAAACAGCCTATTACAGCACAGATATATATATTCCTAAATGCTAGTTCAGTTTTATAGCTTACAAAGTGCTTATCTTTATATTTTATAAACACTAATAGCTGTAATTGATATATTTTACCAATAGTTTAGTAGCCAAATCATGTTTCCCCAAATCCACGGGGTTATATGTCAAATCCGGTGGTCAAATCTAGCTTCCCTGAATCCATAGGGAAATATAATTTAGTTCCAAATCCACGGGGCAATATAGCAGAGTATTGAAGTAATTTTTTTCCAAATCACGCAGATGTTTCCTTAGTACATCCCAAATCACATCGGGGTCACCATTTGTTGTCTTAAACAGCTCAACCGTTCTATTCTCATTATGGTGCAGGGATTCCATATTGTCTGAGATTCATACCACCTTGATGTTTCTTGTAGGCAGCTCCTCTAAGCACTGACTGTTCCTGGTCCTTGCAGTAATTATTTAATTCTAGGTCCCACCAATCCGCTCTTTTATCACACTGTTCTTATTGGCTGCAGGTGTTGCCTGTTATCATCCAGCCTGCTCCTGATCTTTAGTAATAGAGTCCAGCTGCAACTTGTTGGGGGATAAGATTACATTCTTTATCACTTTCATTCACCCATACTGTGTCCCCCTACACCACAGAGTCCAGGGGGGAAAACTGGGGGGGACAAGGACCTGGGGACACACAGCTGAGACAAACACATCTGTCTGTCCCAGTCTGCTCCATGGAGGGAGCTCTGCTGTGCTGGGAATGGCAAAACCCGGGGTGGGAAATGTGGAATTCATTACTTTCTGTTTTTCTTCCCCAAATACACTGAATTTATCCCAATGCATGGGTGCTTTGCTGCTTTCCCACCCCAGCAGGGTGAAAGGACAGCTGGGGCTGAGCTGGGGGCCAGGATTAAACCAAACATCCTTGGTTTGCAATGAGCTCCCAAAGCTTTGATAAATTGGAATTTGGCATAAAATAAAAATAAAATACTGGAAATTATGGAGAAAAATCCATAAAATGCTGGAATTTGGCAGCTGAGAAATATTGACTTTGTATAATTGCTCAGCAGGTCTTTTATTCAGGCCTGGTTATAGACTTGCAAATATTTGCAAAGGGAAAAAAAAAGAAAAGAAAAAAAAAAGAAGAAATTTATATGGTAATGATTTTTAAAATCAATTTCCACATTTTTTTCCTTCTGAAGGAGAAAAATAAAACAGTTTCCAAATGAGTTCAGTGGAAGCAAATAGCACCAAAGGCAGAGCGAGGAGCTGTTTATGCAGATGGAATTCAGGGTGGATAAATCTCTATAATTTCCTATTCCAAAGCTGGAGATCTGTCTGCTCTCATTTTAATCGTGACTCCTTGCAGCAGCAGCCTGGAGAGCAGAGGCAGACCTGTGCATTCCATGAAGTTTGACACAAGAGCCTGGGACTGCTCTCAGTGTGGTTTCCCCTGGATTTGTAAGATGCTGGTGTTGCTACCAAAACTGTGATGATCCTTCCATGCTTTGACTTTAGTTTGAAGAAATTTTTTTTAAAAATTCCAGCAAAGTTGCCCTTGGTACCCATTGAAGGGGAATCAGGTTGTTTCCTTGGGTTTTGCTCTTGCCTTAATGTTTAAGATTCTTAAATTTTGAATTTTTGAAATTAATTTTTTGTGTTTTTTTTTAATTAAGATCTTTAATTTTGAGTTTCGGTGGTGCTTTTCATGTTGGGTAGGAAGAGAGAAATCCCAGGTACAATCTTCAGAGGTTAAAAATCCTCCTGATCCAGGGATATGCAGGAAGCAGGAACAGAACCCTTTGCTCTACATTTATTATATATTAAACTACATTTAATATGGTTCATTTTTTGTTTTCTTAGTCCTCAGGGGTCTGAGGTGGGTGTGAATAACTGATGGCAGCAGGACCATCCCAAATCTATCATTTTTTTTATTATTGTTTCAGAAAAGTCCCCTTGGCAGAAGGTCAGGGAGGATTTAGGAGCCCTGTGCAGGTGTTCCAGCAGGACATTGGCTTTAGAGGGTTGTTCCACACACAGCTCTGGCATAAATGGGGAATTCCACCTGGAATTGTCCCATCCCTGCTCCCTCAGAGTCTCCTTCCCCACTGCTGTGTGCTGAGAGGAGACCAAACCTTGCCATTCTCACCTCAACTTGCACCAAACCTGGGGCTCCTTGCGAGGATACCTGCCCTCAACTGAAATCCCTGTGTCCTTGCAGCCCTGAATTGGAAATACTGTCTCTAAATTGAAAATATTGTCTCTAAATTGAAATTCCTGTGTCTTTGCAGCCCTAAATTGAAATTCCTGCGTCCTTGCAGCCCTAAACTAAAATTCCTGCATCCTTGCAGCCCTAAATTGAAATTCCTGTGTCTTTGCAGCCCTAAATTGAAATTCCTGTCCTTGCAGCCCTAAACTAAAATTCCTGCATCCTTGCAGCCCTGAATTGGAAATACTGTCTCTAAATTGAAAATATTGTCTCTAAATTGAAATTCCTGTGTCTTTGCAGCCCTAAATTGAAATTCCTGCGTCCTTGCAGCCCTAAACTAAAATTCCTGCATCCTTGCAGCCCTAAATTGAAATTCCTGTATCTTTGCAGCCCTAAATTGAAATTCCTGTCCTTGCAGCCCTAAACTAAAATTCCTGCATCCTTGCAGCCCTAAATTGAAATTCCTGTGTCTTTGCAGCCCTAAATTGAAATTCCTGTGTCCTTACAGCCCAGCAGTGGCAGCACCATGCCCCAGAGGAGCTCTGCTTGTTGTTATTCCATGATTTATTCCCTGTTTTCTCTTGTTTTTGTGCCCCAGGACGAGGAGGAGATGGAGGAAGCCACCAACCAGAAGCTGGCCCTGCAGAAGGCCAAGGAGGTGGCTGAAGTGAGCCCCATGTCAGCAGCCAACATCTCCATAGCTGCGTAAGCACCTTTGATTCCTTGGGAGAGCATTTCCCTTTTGCAGTGTCTCTGTCTGTCTGTCTGTCTGTCCAGCTGGAGCATCCCATGGTCTGGGAGCCCTCCTGCACCACCTCTGGCCAAATACTTCAGTGCTGAGCACTTAATTAGGAGTTTAATGAAGGATTTCTTTCAGTTTGGTGGTCTTTGTAAGGCCTCAGCTTTGAATAGTTGTGGTTTAGGAGGATTTTTTTTTTTAAGGTAGATTTCACCAGGTGAAGTGTTAACATCCCACTTTGGATTTTTAATGAGGACATGAGTTTAATGATTTTTAATGAGTTGTTTCTGTGTGTGCACAGAAATCGATATTTTTTAATAATCTTGAGAATTGAAGTGCAAAGGCATCCTTTAAATAGCTGAAAAATGTGTTTGAATTCCCTTTCCTTGCTGTTTGAAAGAGTTAGGTGGAGTAAAATGTTCTGGTTTGGAGGCAGGAACATCCATTTGGGATTCCCAGATCCCTGGATGAGGACAAGCACAAGCTCTGAGATACCAAAATCCTTGGAGAGCTTTGCCTTGGGCCCAACTTTTCCAAAATGAGGTGTAGGTGGAAATATTTGAGGTCCAGGTTCCTGTGTTTGAGACATCCCTGGAAATATCCAAGTGTTGGATGGACTTGGAGCAGCCTGGGGTGGTGGAGGGTGTCCCTGCAGAGGCTGGGATGGGATTTAAGGTCCTTCCAACCCAAACCATTCCATGACTCTGTTCTGGGATTCCTTACAAGGACTTGCTGAAATCCTTGAACTCTTCTGGAATTTCAGCATCAACACCAAAAAGTTTGCTCCTGCATTTTACTGGGAGCTGCTGATGTTTTCCAGACCCCTTTTACAGGAGGAGACCTCCAAGGGCTGGAGAAGCTCAAGCATAAAAAAAAAAAAAAGAAATTTCCTGCTCAATTTACTGGAAAAAACCTGAACTGCAGCCGGATCCCTTCGGTGGAAATCTCTTTTTACTGGGACTTTAATCCACTTTAGCAAAGACAAAAGGCCAAGTGGAGCCAGTTTATTACATGTGAAGGAAAAGAATATTATTAATTTGCCTATTTTATTCTTCTTACCATTTTATTTTGTCATTACTGCTGTAATCAGTTCCTATTTATGCTCTGGCTGTTTGATAGTTTTAAATACCATTTTTTCCTTACAATTATTTTCTGGCCAGCCTTGAAAAGAAGTCAAATGAGGATAATTGCTCCTGCTCTTTGATGAATTTCTTGGTTCTGGTATTTGAAAATGCAAGATGATGATGGTGCTTATTTGCTTCTGTGTTTTGCATGGGAAGATTTCTTAGAAATTGGGAGAAAAAAAACCAACTCACTTCCATGGACCTAAGGCTGAAATTGCCTTAAAATCACCTTTTCCCATGATTTTTCACCAGGTTTTAAAAAGCACAAGGAGATTTTTGTGACAACAATTCAAAGTGAGGACAAAATTGTGGATTTTTGCTTATTTTGCCTCAAATTAAGTCTGCTCTGCCCCGGCTGTGGGAAAATTCACAGAAGCACAATGGAAGGGATGGTTTGCACGTCTGACCCTGTGGCATCTCCTTACCCTGCTCCATGGCCACTCACAGAGCTCTGCTTTGGGGACAAAAAGCAACATTTAGGTCAAGGGATTGATGCCCAAAGGGATGAGGCCCTGGAGGAGGAGGCAAGGGAGGAATCAGATTTTGGGAGATGGGAAGAGGGGCTGGGTGGATTGGTGGCTTGTAACCCATGAGATTTAATAAATCCATCTCAAAGCAATTTTATACATAAATCCCAGGATATTCTGAGTTGGGAGAGACCCACAAGGGTCAAATGCAGCTCTCAAGTGAAGAACCCATACAGGGACAGAATTTCCATCCTCAGGGAGCTCCAGAGGAGCTTGGCAGCCCCTAAACCTTGAACAGGGGTGGTTTGCAGCCCCTAAATATTGTATAGGGGATGGTTTGCAGCCCTAAATATTGCAGGAGTGGTTTGCAGCCCCTAAATATTTTATAGGGAGATGCTTTGCAGCCCCTAAATATTGTGTAGAGTGTGGTTTGCAGCCCCTAAATCTTGGATGGGGTGGTTTGCAGGCCCTAAATCTTGGATAGGAGGATGGTTTGCAGCTCCTAAATGTTGGACAGGGGTGCTTTGCAGCCCCTAAATCTTGCTGGGTGATGTTTGCAGCCCCTAAATCTTATATAGGGGGGTGCTTTGCAGCCCCTAGGTCTTCGACAGGGAGGTGGCTTGCAGACCCTAAATTTTGGACAGGGGATGGTCTGCAGCCCCTAAATCTTGCAGGGGTGGTTTGCAGCCCGTAAATCTTGGATAGAGGCTGTTTTGCAGCCCCTAAACCTTGGACAGGGGGTGGTTTGCAGCCCCTAAATACTCTATAGATGTTACTTTGCAGTCCCTAGGTCTTGGACAGAAGGGTGGCTTGCAGCCCCTAAATATTGTATAGGGTGTGGTTTGCAGCCCCTGAATCTTGGGCAGGGGGTGGTTTGCAGCCACCATCCCTTGGATACCCCTCTCCAGCACAACAGGGCTGATTTAGGGACCTTTTGGCACCCAAATCCACCCCAACACTTCATTTCCTGCTCTTATTTCCCGCGGTGCTCTCAGGGTGGAACAGATGTTGTGCCCATGGCAAGTCCTGGCAGATCAGATCCTGAGCTGGACATGCCAAAAGTGCTGGGTGTTCTTAAAAATGGGATTTTTGATGAATGGAAATATCACCAGAACCAAAACTCAGGTACTAAGAACTGAGAATCCAGTCCCTGTAGGATTGAGTAAGCAAGGCCTGGGAAAGCTGGGATTGAGCTCCTGCAAAGGTGGCTCTACCCAATCAATCTCTATTTGTACTTTCCCCTAAGGAATATTTTTTTTTTTTAGTTTTCTAGTTTAATATTATTTTCCCAACCTGTAGAAATGGATTTCTGTAACAGCAGGCATCAATGGCATGGATGGATGTTCTGAAAACATTGATATTTTCCCTGCCTGCATCAGTCCAAGCAGGTGCTGGCAGAGAACAGCATGACTTGGATTTTCTTGATCACGATGTTCACGTTGCCAGTGTCCTCAGGAGGTGACAAAGCTGTCCCTGGGCTGAGCCTGCTCAGGACTCACGTTGGCTGTGCTGCCTCAGGTGCTGTTTCCTCCCTGCCCTTGCCAGTCCTGCTCCCAGCACTGACTGTGGCTCCCCTAAAGCTCCTTCCAGCCCTTCCCACGGGGTTGGATCCCCCACCTCTGGCATTTTCCTGTGCCAACACAGGGTCAGCTGTGCCTGAAGAGGAATTTTTTGCACTCTGTGACTTACAGGATTTGGGTTTTTTTAATTCCATGAGGTAATGGATTACAGTTGCAGCCAGATCCAAGGGAATCATTTATCACCTGCCCCAGCCTCCCCTCCTAAGCAAGCTCCATCAAATTTGCACATCCAGTGCCTTGGAATTGTCCCCTTGTCCCCCTTCCTCTGCTCTGAGCTCCATTTATTGTGCTGGTTACTGAACATCATTTCCTAAGCATCAGGAGCTGGTTGTTATCCAGTGTTCTCCAGGCTCTGAAGAGGCACCTTCACCTTCCCACCTGGAGCTGGGAATTGCTTTGTGATTGATGGACACCAGGGATCTCCTTTAATAACAGGCTCATCATTGCAGTGCTGGGGAGGGATCGTTCATCATCTGCCTCACAACGTCCTGCATTGCTTTGGAGCTCCAGAAATGTCCTCTCTTGTATTCAGGGCACCCTGACAAAGGCAAGGAAAGATCAATCTGACTCCATCTTCTTAGAAGGCTCATTTATTATTTTATCCCTATAATATCATGGTGGTTCAGAGGGTTGGGATGATCTGTGGTATTTTCAGGGTCCCCTATTGTTGGGAGGAAATGATGAATCTGACTCCATGTTCTTAGAAGGCTAATTTATTATTTTATGATACTTTATTGTATTAAATTATATTATTATAATATTATATTATTTATTATATTAAAGAATACTATACTAAAGAATAGAGGAAGGATGCTTACAGAAGATTATAAGATAATAATGAAAAACTCGTGACTGCTTCCAGAGTCCTGACACAGCTTGCCTGTGATTGGTCATTAAGTAAAAACAATTTACATTAAACCAATCAAACAATGACCAGCTGGTAAACAATCTCCAAACACATTCCAAAGCAGCAAAACACAGGAGAAACAAATCAGATAATTATTGGTTTCTTTTTTCTCTGAGGCTTCTCAGCTTCCCAGGAGCAAACTCCTGGGCAAAGAGATTTTTCCAGAAAATATGACAGTGACAGTCCTCCTCCACCAAAGGGATTCACCTGAGCAGATTTGTCTGGCCACAGTTGGTTTATCACCTGGTGAACTCTAGCCTGAAGGATTTATTTTGTGGTTTCTCTGGATGAAAAGTGAGGCTGGTCTGGAGTTCCTGCCTCATCCAGCCCCCAGCATTTTTCTGCTCCACCAAAGGGACCTGAGCAGATTTTTGTCTGGCCACAGTTCCTTTTTCATTTAGTGAACTCTTTTCTGAAGGATTTATTTAGGATGAAAAAGTGAGGCTGGTGTGGAGCTGCTGGTTCATGCAGCCCCCAGCATTTCTCTGCTCCACCAGAGGGACCTGAGCAGATTTTTCTGACCACAGTTGGTTTTTCACCTGGTGAACTCTAACCTGCAGGATTTATTTTGTGGTTTCTCTGGATGAAAAGTGAGGCTGGTGTGGAGCTCGTGCCTCATGCAGCCCCCATCATTTCTCTGCTCCACCAGAGAGCAGATTTGACTGACCACAGTTGGTTTTTCACCTGGTGAACTCTACCCTGAAGGATTTATTTAGGATGAAAAACAAGGGTGATGTGTTGGTTCTATCACTGTTTGCAATGTTTGGCTGAACACAGGAGGTGTGTTTGATTCGAGCCCATTGCTTCACTCTTCTTTTTGTGTGATTATTTTTTGTTTGTTTGTTTTCCATTTAGCATTTTCCTTGCTTTGTTGTTTCTGGAGGTGAG